CCTAAACTACACTGTTGTGTCCTCTCCCACCCCTATCAAAACTAGTCCACAGACACTGTGAGAAATAAGTCTCTAATGAGGTATGCATCCAAAAGTAAACCTCATCCAAAGTTGACTACAGCTGGATGGAAGCTAGTGAAGATCATAGTTCAACCTGGGCCAGAGGTGCAAAGCAAAGTGGCAATACGAACACAGGAGGCACAGTGTCAAAACATGCAAATTAAATCAGCAAAAAGAAGGAAATTAGGTCAATACATCTTAAGTTTTCCATGCTCCCTCCACTTTGCAAAGGCAAATCTCCTACCTTGACAGGAGGCCTGGGTCTCCATTTACTCTTGAAGTCACTCATCCCCCACTTCTCAAATATAAAACTTATCGAATCATATCACAGGTCTCTTATCTATCTCTTTAGCCCATTCTATGGTCTCTCTTCTCAGTCCTTATACTTGGTTGGGTTCTCATCACCTCTTATTTGGGACTAGACTCACATGTACCTCTTACTTATCCCCTGCCTCTTGCCTTAATTTCCTCTAATCTATCTTCCATATGGACAACAAAATAATTCTTAAAAAAAAAACCAAAAGTATTCTTAATTTATCAACATAAAAATAATACTACTCTTGCTTAACACCAGTTACTAAAAGTGGAAAAAATAGGCTTCCTTCTCAACACTCATCCCATTCCAACGGCACCATGAGTGGGAGGGCAAATCATTATGTGGGGCAAAAATAGAGATCTGTTTGAAAAAACACAATCTATCCCCTGCTTTTGTGACACACAGAATACAGAAAGTAAAGCTTGACAGAGTCTTTCAGACAATTGGAAATCACAAATTATACTAATTTTTTAAATGTTGAAAAAAGCTCCCATACAGTACAACATTGAATATACATGGTTTGCAGCTCTGTTCAAAATGCTCCTCAACCTACGCTGAGGTTGCATCCCAATGAACCTACCACAAGTTGAAAATACTTTAAGTAAAAATGCAGTCAATATGGCTAATCTACCAGACTTCATCATTTAGCAACACAGTACCCTGTAAAGCATGGCTTGTTTACCCTGGTGACCACATGAGTAACCAATTCAATAGCTCGTGAGAGAATCATATCACAAAACACATATCATTAGCTCAAGAAAAGATCAAAATCCCAAATTCAAAGTATGGTTTCTGAATGTATACCATTTTCATACCGAACAGAAAAATTTTAAGTCAAATTATGATCATGAGTCAGGCACCATCTGTACAATTCAAGTTTCTACCCAGAGGGCTACTTTCTAAGAATGTGGATATAGGAATAAAATGGAGAAATTTTTTTTTTGGCTTACCATATTTTGTCTAACAAAAGTATTCTTAATTTATCAACATAAAAATAATAACCACTGTGTATCCTCCTATAAATTCAAACTGTATTTCAGTGAAATGTCTAAAACATCATTTTCCTCTTTGAGACACACATTTTATGTGTGGGAAAACATTCAAGGCCCATCCAAGTATCTTTAGTATCTCCATATGTTTTAACTCAGAGGATTTGGAAAGCTTGCTGTGCTACTAAATGGTTTATAGGCAAAACTTCCTAGGTTTAAAAATAAAAATAGAAAAACTTCATCTGGCTACTAGATCTAGTCAGTGACAAAAAAAAATCCATTTAAGTTATGGCCACTTAGGCTTAGTAAAATATCTTTAATTTTATGCTATTTCTGTAATCTTGATTCACTATCTCAGTAATAAAATATATAACACACAAATATAGTACAGGATAAATTATCTCCTATAATATATGTAGACTTGTCATTCTATTTTCCTTAAAGGAATAATACAAAAATTGGAAGTACTTTAAGTGATAGCACTTGGAAATACAACTAAAGGGAAAAGACTGCTCACTCCTTGCCTGAGTACTTGAGTTTGAACTGATCTTTCTTCTTTAATCATTATTCTATTTTAATTCTCCTTAACTTTTACTACTTTTTACTATATTCTTTCCCTTCCATTTCTGTATCTAATCCCCGTTCACCTGATCCTCAGTGGGCTGGCAGAGAAAAAGTAGGATTTTTCTGTGTATACCAGATCCTCTACCAGATAATGTTGTTCTTGATAATTTCTGGTTTTTGAACAACCTCTAAAGGGAAATGAGTCCTCAGACTCTCCCTTGCTGGCAGGGCCTTCAGTTGAAGCAGATAAAGGGATCCTACAAAAGGCCCCAGAGATCATGACTGAAAATAGGCTCTGGAGCCAGACCACCTGGAGAGAAATCCCAGACCTACCCACCTCTTACTATGGTACCCTTAAGTAAATTACTCAATCTCAGTTCATTTAAAACAGGGATAAGAATACCAACTTCACAAGCTGTATAATAAACAAATACACTGAAAGTATTTAGAATAATTCCTACTAAACAATAGATGGGCAATGTTAAGTGCTACTATAATAATTATTACAACTACTATAACTAATATTACTATCATCACTGCCATTTCTAACGTTGAGCTAGGTAGCACTGGGGAGGCTGTTGAGTTCTCTGGTCAAGCTCTGTGTCACATTAGAATAAAGACTATAAATGTGAATGACTGAATGCAGACTTGTTGATCTTCAACTAAGTACCAAGAATTATTCTGTGCACTTTTGCAAAGTTTATTTTATTTGATCCTTATAAGAAGGTAGAGATGAAGCTTATTATTTGGGTGATGAAACTGAGGTTAGTGAGGCAAAATATTCTGTTTATCACACCAGAGCTACCTCTGGGAAATTTGACAAAGAGATAAGCTACACTGTGTAAGTCTAGTCTGTTCATAATATTAGCTAATATTAATAGTTTTTATTTTTAAAAAACTACAAGTTCCAAAAAAGTTAAATTGAACATTTTGAACACTTGTCTATTGATTGTTACCAGTTTTAGTGTTAATTATGCATAAATTCATTTTCACAAAAAAGATTTATATTACTTGAAAGTAGTAGCTGTATCTTTAAAATTCTCAATGCATCTAATTTGTTGTTTGGTAAATACTTGATTTTTTTAAATAATCAAAAATAACAATGAAAACTGCAATCACCCATGCCTAGCAGAACACACACTGTGAATCCCAGGGATGCAATTAAAGAAGATCCAGGGATAGAACTGCAATCCCTTTAATACTAACGTAAAGAAAAGGATGAGTTCATGTGTACCATGAGATAGTTTTAGATGATACAGATAACAGTAGTAAATAGCAGTGAATCTGACAGTGAAAGGTATTGTTTTGTTTTTGTTTTTTTAAAAAATCACCTCTAATTCTTCTGAGTATACAAAGCAGAATGTCTTGATTTAGTGCTACTTTGTTTTAAAACCTGCATATAACACTTGCTAATATCCCCTTTTAACAATGAAAAATCTCAGACACAGAACACTGACAGTAGTATCAAGCTGGTATTTGTAATTACTTTGTTCTTCATGCATTTTAAAAAATTGCTACATTCTATGTTACACTTGTTATTATTACAATGTTTCCTGTAGGAATAAGAGGATAAGGAATGATTACTATATAGGTATGGGTGCTTCTAAAGGTTCTTGAAACAAGAGAAAGCTGCTGTACTTCAAATGGTTAATTTTATGTTAAGCGAATTTCACCTCAATTTTTAAAAGTATTTAATTTTTTTAAATAAATCAATTTTTAACAATGAAGTAAGCAATAAGGTGATATATACATATGGCAAGAATTATGAAAGCAGTATGCATACAATGAACTTTGGGAAACATATTAAGGGCAACTGAACTAGATTGGTATAGGTGACATTCCTGGGGATGATCTACAGGAAGCTGATGGGTAGAGCCTGCAAACTAATTTTGGTAGCTTTTCAAGACATCATGCATCTAGCACATTCAAACTACAGTTGATTTCTAGTGGCATACCAGATGTGTTCAAGGGCTTGAGCAAAAATCCCAAGGCAGGAAAAATATCATTTGCATCCATCTGTTTCTTGTTCTGAATACTTGTGTTCCTCTTCCTCTCCCTCAGCATTCAAGTGTCTTCAGTATTGATTTTCTTAGTTCATTAATGCCCAGTTTCTTCTGTCTTTGATTCTTCATCCCAAGTTCTTAGGTTGTTTTGTTTGGTAGGACTAGAGACTAACCAGTAGGTACTCTATCACATCCTCAGGCCCTTTATTTTATTTTATTTATTAATTAATTTATTTTTTGAGACAGAGCCTTACTAGTTGCCCAGGCTAGACTCAAACTTGCAAACCTCCTGCCCCAGCCTCCTGAGTGGCTGGGCTTACAGGCAAGTGCTATCACTACCAGCCCAACTTCTATTTTCTGAGTGTAGTCTTCAGCTATGATATGAAAGGATTAACATCAGTCCTTCCTACTTCATAAGGCTGCTGGAAGAGATTGTACTTTGGGGTATGCTTTAGAAGTGTTACTCTAACTCATTAGTGGGTCATAAAATCAACTCAATAGATTATAATTGACACTTTACAATAGAATAGAGCAGATTGAAAAATATCAGAGTATATTTTACATGTCAACGTTAGAAATTGTTATGGTAAACTTCAGGGTTCTTTATCTTGTTTTTGCATTTTTAGTGCTGGGTTTGAACATATCTCTCATTATAAGCACAGCTCTACTACTGATTATTCCCACTGTTTTCACTTTTATATATCTAAATCTGTGCAAAGACTAGTATAGAGCTGATCACAATGAAAAATGTCATTTTCTGTGGTTAAAAAAAAAAAAAACCTTTGCAAGTAAGTCCTTTCTCTCTGTTATATTTTCAGATGGAAAGAACATAACAACTGTTTTCAAAATTAACAAAAAAAATGGGGTGGGGGGCAGTCACTATTTGATGAATACAGTGGTTGGCTCCTTAGCCACTTGCACCAGAAAAATAACTCCTAAATAATTCCAGGAAAATAAATACTACAAATATTTTGAAGCGATGAAGTTTGACAGAATAATGTAATGCCCTTTGAGTCTAACAAAATATAAATAAAAGCTTCTGACATTTTTTAAGAAATGTGGTAGGTTGGGGATATAGCTCAGTTGGTAGAGTGTTTGCCTCACATGCACAAGGTCCTGGGTTCAAACCCCAGTAACCCCCCATACCCACCCTACACACACATATGGTAAATTACAAAGACTTGGGTAATTAGTAGACAGAAACTAAGCAAAACAAAACAGGGAGAACTCACTGTAGCACCAAGAGTTGGGAACTAAATTATCACTGGTTGTATCACTTTTCCAGTTGCAATGAATCAAAGAATAGGTTAAAATAGAATGCACACAGACCAGAGAACTGTTTTACATTTTGGCTCAGACTTCACTTTCTGTATATAAAAACCCTACTAGTGGCTCTATTAAATGAACATTTAACATTTACTATTTTGTTTATAATGGTTAAAACAGTAATGTTTGGCCTCATCAGCTTACAAAATAAATCATAGCTGTCCTGAAGCTGAGAAACATGGTTTAGGAAATACCTCTACTAGAGAGAGGCATCCCTTATATAGGCTTTCTAGAGATGATAGTCGTCCTGCAGAGAGTCTGACCATTTTAGACAACATAACAGCCTAATCTAGACAACTGCAGAGAGAACTTCACTCATGTTTTGTAAGATGCCAAGTCTTTTCTTTATCACTTAAAGATTAGGGAGCATTTACTCCATGTTGCACACTGATAGAAAGACACTAATAAAAATAAAATTAACAGTTCAAAATTAGCTAAAATAGCACAAAATAAAAACAGATTTCCCTGTTTCTTGCACTCCAAATGCTCAACTCCCCCAAAGCTTATTTATTATTATAAAATTAGCCACTATGACAGGGGGTGAACAAACGTGTTCTGGGAATTAATTTCCAAATCAAATTCTCTATGTTATACCAATATACAACTCTCTAAAAAGACATAATTTACTATGAAAAAAAAATGAGCTTTACATTAAATATCCATTTGTCAGCTTTAGATTAAAAAATTATTCAGAATCTAAATATCACCTCCACCACCATCCTAAGAAATTACCTGGATTAAAGTCTGAAATTGCCCTAACCAATCTCCCTGCTTCTGCCTTTCTTTATGTATAGCCATTCTATAGACAGAGTGGCCAAAATGACTACTTTCTAAATGTAACTTGGATCTTGTCATTCCTCTACTCAAATCTCTCCATGGCTTCCCACAGACCTCAGAAGACTATCCAAGTCCTTTTAATACCACACAAGGCCCTATTTGATCTGATAGCTTCCCATCCCAATCTGTGCAGAATAACTGAGAATGCTTGGCTCAGCTCCTCACATTTCCTTCTTAAGGTGTGAGGAGCTTCTAGAGAGCAATTCTCCTCTACTCCTCCCCATCCCATCTTCCTGGGCAGCCGTGACCAGGGCCAGACAGGATGGGCAGATCTGTCCCATCCCAGGACCTGCTCGGGGTGTACTTCTGGCTTTCCTCCTCCTCCTCCACCTGGCCTTTGTCTATCATACTTTAGTGATTGGTCTTATTTCCTACTCTGTTTAGAATCCAGGTAAGGAAGAGGGGTGTTAATAACAAGGGTTAACTAAAACCTAAAACATTGAAACACATATGTGCAAGGCTTGCACATCTTATAGTTGGGTACAGAAAATAATCTAGAAATTCTCATCTCTGGATGACGTAGGTATAGGTGACTTATTCTTTCCTATGCTTTTCTATTTCTAGATGAATTACTTTCTAGATGCGTTACTTTGGCAATCAGAAAAAAGTAGGCAAGATTAAATTTCTCTGAGGCCATTAAATAGAACAAAGATTGGGGCCATATTTCAGAGGAAATCATGAACTATGTCTTGGATACATAGTCTACTGAAATGAAGACAGAAATCTCAAATGACTGTCTCTAATCATGACTACACACAATGAAGATAAAAAAGCCTTACCTTCCCAAATCCTCCGATACCGGCCTGTGTGGTACTCAGGCTCAAAGTAGGCCTGGGTTCATCCCTCCACCAGCAAACATCCTTAGGAGCCCAGCCTCTGGCACAGGACCACCCCTTCTGACCAGCAGAATACAACAGGAGGCCAGGCCCGGCCCAGATCCACCCACACCAACTTGCATGGGATCCAGGTCCAAGTTAGGTCCAAGCTCGCTGCCCCCACACCTGTGAGCTACATCTCAGAGCAGGCATCCTAAAGAGAGTGTGAGACGCATCCTTTCAGCCCCATCTCTGTAAGACATTGCATCCATCTTGGGGCACCTCAACTATGATCTTGAGTTACTTCAGTGATTGCCGCCACCATCTTTAGTTGCAGTAGCATACACTGAGGGACACCATCAGGGTCTCAAAGCCCAACATCAAAGTGAATACAGACAATCTACATGGGTACTACAACAAAATAGGGTAGAAACTACAATATCTCAGATCCACACTGCAAGAAAGGAAGACACATAGACAACATGGAAAACCAAGGGAGGAAAGTGCCCCAAACAAACCAGGATACTATAATAACAAAACCCATGGACAGTGAAGTTGATGAAATGTCAGACAAGGAGTTCAAAAGGTTCATAAATAAAATGATCTGTAAATTAAAGAATGACCTAAATGAGCAAATACAGGCAAAACTTGATCACTCCAACAATGAGATAAGAGAGCAAATACAGTAACAAAGAACTACTTCAAGAGAGAGAGACTCTAAAAAAAAAAAAAAAAAGTCAGAAATCCGTGAAATGAAGGACACAATAAACCAAATTAAAAAAACAATAGAAAGCATAACCAACAGACTAGATCACTTGGAAGAAAGAACATAAGATAATGAAGACAATGTATACAATCTGGAAAATAAAGTTATCACCCAGTGAAGATACCAAGAAACCATGAACAGAATATCCAAAAATTATGGGACAGCATCAAAAGACCAAATCTAAGAGTTATAGGAATAGAGGAAGGCATAGAGTTTCAAACCAAAGAATGCACAATGTCTTCAATGAGATAATATCATAAAATTTCTCAAGCATGAAGAATGAATTGGAAAACCAAATACAGGAGGCTTTCAGGACACTAAATGTACAAAATTACAACAGATCTACACCAAGGCACATTACAATGAAAATGCCTAGCATACAGAATAAGGATAGAATCTTAAAAGCCAGCAAGAGAGAAGAATAAGATCACATATAGGGGGAGACCAATTGGTATCTCAGTAGATTTTTCAACCAGACCCTCAAAGCCAGGAGATCATGAAACAACATACACCAAGCTCTGTAAGAAAATGGATGCCAACCAAGAATCTTATATCCAGCAAAATTAAGCTTTAGATTTGATGATGAAACAAAAACCTTCCATGATAAACAAAAATTAAAAGAATTTACAACTGAAAGCCTGCACTACAGAACATCTTCAGTAAAATATTCTATGAAGAGGAAATAGAAAAAAAATTATGAAAATCAGCAGATGGAGGGATTACACTAAAGGAAAATCTAATCAGAAGAGAAACCAAGTCACACTAAATACCAAAAATAAACAAAAATGGCTGGAAATACTAATCATGTCTCAATAATAACCCTGAATGTTAATGCCTAAACTCACCAATCAAAAGACATAGACTAGCAGATTGGAACAACAACAAAAAAGACCCAACAATATGCTACCTCCAAGAGACTCATCTCACAGGAAAAGACATCCACAGACTGAAGGTGAAGGGTTGGGAAAAATCATACCACTCACATGGACTGCAGAAGCAAGCAGGGGTTTCTATCCTCATATTAAATAAAGTAGACTTCAAACTAAAGTAAGTCAAAATGGAAAAGAAGGACACTATATACTACTCAAGGGAACAATACATCAACAAGATTTAACAATTACAAATATATATACCCCCAAAAATGGAGCGACTATGTTCATCAAACAAACTCTTCTCAAGTTCAAGAGTCAAAAAGACCACAACAAAAATAATTTTGGGTGACTTTAACACAACTCTTTCATCACTGGATAGATCTTCCAAACAAAAGCTGAACAAAGACGCTACAGAACTAGATAATGCAATCAATAACTTAGACTTAACTGACATATATAGAATATTTCATCCTTCAATGAGAGAATATATCTCCTTCTCAGCAGCACATGGATCCTTCTCTAAAATAGACCATACATAATGCCACAAAGCATTCTATCAGACCATAATGGAAGGAAATTAGAAATCAATGATAAAGTAAGGAATAAAATCTACTCCAAAACCTGAAGTCTAAATAATATGCTACTGAATAAATAATGGGTTGCAGAAGACATCAAGGAGGAGACTAAAAATTTTTAGAAGTGAATGAGAACACAGATACAACATATCGAAATCTCTGGGACACTATGAAAGTGGTTCTAAGAGGAAAGTTCATTGTATGGAGTTCATTCCTTAAAAGAAGAAAAAGTCAACAAATAAATGACTTAACATTACATCTCAAATCCCTAGAAAAAGAAGAACAAATCAACACCAAAAGCAGTAGACGACAGAAAATAATTAAAATCACAGCTGAAATCAATGAAATTGAAACAATTAAAAAACTGACAGAACAAAAAATTTGTTCTTTGAAAAACTAAATAAAATTGACAGACGCTTAGCCATGTGAACAAAGAGAAGTAGAGAGAAAACTCAAATTACTAACATATGTGATAAAAAAGGAAATATCATGACAGACACTACAAGAAATACAGAAGAAATTATTTTGAAAACTTGTACTCCAATAAAACAGAAAATATCAAAGACAATGACAAATTTCTAGAGTCAAATAATTTGCCCAAATTGAATCAGGATGAAATACACAATTTAAACATATCACTTTCAAGCGACTAAATAGAAGACACAATCAGAAGTTTACAAACCAAGAAAAGCCCAGGACCAGATGGATACAGAGCTGAGTTCTACAAGACCTTTAAAGAAGAACTAATACCAATACTCTTCAATTTCTTTTAGGAAATAGAAAAAGAGGGAGCACTTCCAAACTCATTCTATGAGGCCAATACACCCTAATTCCAAAACCAGACAAAGACACATCAAAGAAAGAAAACTTTAGACCAATATCTCTAATGAACATAGATGCAAAAATTCTCAATAAATTTCTGCCAAATTGAATAAAAAAAAACATAGATG